ACTTGGAAGTATTAATAATATTAATAGCGTTACTTATTAGTACTTGAAAGTATTAGTAATATTAATAACGTTATTTAATAGTACTTCAAAGTATTAGTAATATTAATAGCGTTACTTATTAGTACTTGGAAGTATTAGTAATATTAATAACGTTATTTAATAGTACTTCAAAGTATTAATAATATTAATAGCGTTACTTATTAGTACTTGAAAGTATTAGTAATATTAATAACGTTATTTAATAGTACTTCAAAGTATTAGTAATATTAATAACGTTACTTATTAGTACTTGAAAGTATTAGTAATATTAGTAGCGTTACTTATTAGTACGTGGAAGTATTAGTAATATTAATAGCGTTACTTATTAGTACTTGGAAGTATTAATAATATTAATAGCGTTACTTATTAGTACTTGAATGTATTAGTAATATTAATAACGTTATTTAATAGTACTTCAAAGTATTAGTAATATTAATAACGTTACTTATTAGTACTTGAAAGTATTAGTAATATTAATAACGTTATTTAATAGTACTTCAAAGTATTAGTAATATTAATAACGTTACTTATTAGTACTTGAAAGCATTAGTAATATTAATAGCGTTACTTATTAGTACTTGGAAGTATTAGTAATATTAATAGCGTTACTTATTACTACTTGAAAGTATTAGTAATATTAATAGAGTTACTTATTAGTACTTGAAAGTATAAGTAATATTAATAGAGTTACTTATTAGTACTTTGAAGTATTAGTAATATTAATAGCGTTACTTATTAGTACTTGGAAGTATTAATAATATTAATAGCGTTACTTATTAGTACTTGAAAGTATTAGTAATATTAATAACGTTATTTAATAGTACTTCAAAGTATTAGTAATATTAATAGCGTTACTTATTAGTACTTGAAAGTATTAGTAATATTAATAGCGTTACTTATTAGTACTTGGAAGTATTAGTAATATTAATAGAGTTACTTATTAGTACTTGAAAGTATTAGTAATATTAATAGCGTTACTAATTAGTACTTTAAAGTACTAGTAATATTAATAGCGTTACTAATATCTTCTTTAAGAATTTATGGATTTTATCATTCTGTTGCAGAATGCAGCTTCCGAATCAAGACATGCACCAGAGAAATGCGACTGCTGGAGGCGGCGCCTGTCAAATAAATTGTTATGACCTGGAAACTAGGCACGGAACCCGTATGCAAGCTCACAGTCGACGGTCCAAGGTCAAATGATTACAAAACATAGAAAGTTACATGTAACATGAAATTAAGAGACCTTTAATATTGGTTCTTTGATAAAGTTTACTGCTTCAACAGATAATAAGAGCATAAACGCTTGTATTTTATTGTTGTTTATACTTTAGTAAGTTTAGAGATTATAATTAATATACGTAATAAACACCCTCGTTTTTTTCCAGCATTATGAAATAGTTATTCCGACACCCTGCTCCATTGCGTGTAACCGAACTTCACAACATTTTATTTCTCGTATATAAAGATTTCATCGCGAAGTTTTGGCACGCGAATATTTTAAATAAAAATATTTTTTTTTTTGTAAAATTAACTTGGGAATAGCCAAGTCAATTTTTTTCCCTCAATTGGTTAACTAGTAGAAAATTCCTTAACATTTAGTCCGCTTCTACTATCATATTTTAATTATATCATTAAAAAAATATTACCATTTAAAAGCAATTAATAGAAGGCAAATTTTTGTAACAGAAATCAGATTACATTACTAATTTTGAAAATGACGTCACTTCTCGCATTTTGCGTTTACCGACTTCGAATATTATTTCTTATAACTGGTTTTCCTATAAATGTTAAACCATTTTAATAGGAATGCTAATTACAAGAAGTTAATTTGTTAATTTATTCATGCGTTAATACAGATTTTGTTTGCAATCTCGTATCTCTATAGCCATATTTTTTGTGTTTATTGATTCTGAATTGGCAACCACCAGCGGCGATTCTAATTAACTCTATTAGTTATTGCATTCACTGTTGTTTTAAAACCTACTATTAGTGTCTAATAAATAAAATACAAACGTTTATTATTCGAACTTTTATTTTTAATTTATGCTTAATTTGCTGTTTTAAGTGGAATTTGATGATATAAGTGATAATGGCCACAACCCACAACGCTTGTCTTTGCTTTAGGAAGTCCCTAAGGCGAAATGAAGCGTTGTGGCCATTAAAAGTCCTGTCAATAAGTGGTGCCCTGTATTCCATAAAAAGAGCAAGTAAAAGAAATAGACAAACTAAAATCAGATATATTAAACTAAACTTACATGGACAATTGTAATTTCTATTTAACATCCAAATCAAACAAGAAGTTTAATGTCACAGCAGCCACGGACAGAACAAGACGGGGCGGTAACCTTTTTAAAACTTAACCTAGTTGCTTTCATTTTTACTTTTTATTTCATTCATTTATTGCAAGCATATCAAAAATCCACTGCTAAACTTAGGCCTTATAGATCTTATAAGATTGGCGCTATCAGCCGTTTATTCTCCATAGTTACCACGCGTGGCAGGCGAGTTTGCATTCGCAGTTTATTATTTTGAATTATTATCACTAAGATCAATAAATAAATATTTTTATTGACATATTGATTCAACAAATGTATGCAAGAACAGTGAGCTGAACAATGTTGCAAGATGCTGTTGCCCATTTCCTGTTTCCTCTTACGACACCCACGGGCTAATGGGTTATCTTAGGCCGCCGCTAAACGAATTGAAGGCTTAGATGACTTTAAAAAAAAACTATATTTAATAATTTTTAATTATACTTTATTTAAAAATTAAGAGTAAACGTTCGTGCTGGAATAATCCATGACTATGTCACCGGGCTAGCCTTCAGACTTCTAATGCAGGCTGTTATAACGGTATTGCTAGTAATGAATTACAGTAACTAGTGAAAGATATATTTTATTGTATAGTGGTGCGACATGTACATAGCACGTTGGGACTCTGGTAAGTTTTCAAAGGAATTCCGCACTTCTTCAGATCTTAGATTAACTGATGGATAGAACGTAGCGGAAAAAATTATTGATTGTATTATTAATTAATTCATTCATTCATAGTATTATAATTTTTAATGATAATGGATATAATAAATCATATTATTATTTGCCTGCAGGTCCATTCGTCAAATATAGTAGGTACGTGAGGGTAATATGGTCATCCGGTTAATATGGTAATTTTATTATAACTCAAGAACTACAGCCTTGTTTGCATAGATGGCTTTGCGATACGATAACTCTTCATCAGTCAATCAAATAATAAAAGATCAAACGGGCGCTACTTTATGACGCCATTATGACAGTTAACTTTATGGTAAATATTTTAGTCGATTTTAATATTGAGTAATGTAGTTAGTTTTTTGTAAGATGATTTTTCAAAGTATTTCTGATTATTGCCAAGTTTGTTTGCTATTTTTTTCTTAATGGATTAGTTATAGGATACGACTGTGTTTTGTCTTTGTCTTCCTCCTAGTTTATGTTTTATAGGGCGGCGTAAGTTTAAGGTGACCATATTACCCACACGTAACTAAGAAGTGCTTACACTGCTGTGTTCCAGTGTTAAGTGTATAGAAAGCCTGTAATTACAGTGTAGTTACGAATTCAATATCTATTTTTGTTATAAAACTGAAGAAACTAACGAGATTACAGTCCAGCAGACGGTAAGTAGTGAGTGCAGTCTATAGACACCTGAAGCCAACATACCACAGATGCGTTGTTATCCCTGAGCACTAAGATGGAATGCCTACTTACAGGTTAAAAATGGTCGTCGGTTCTCTAGACTTACCATATGAAATACAGCAGCATTATTCTACTGTTTCACGCTGATATTCTATGTGGTCCGGGTCTAATTGATCTATGTCAATAACATCTGTGTGTGACTTCAATAATGTTGTAATACAAAACGTTCATGATAATCTTTTAATTTCGTGGTAAAACGTATCATATGTGTTAAAACAGGACATGGTTTAAATGTGTGCTAAATTTCACCCAAATTAGTTTAGCCATTCACATTATATCACGCTAGATTGAATAACAAATTTGGCTGACAAACTGTGCCCAGCGTGTGTTTCAATATCTTTTTTTTTGTGTGAAACATTCTTCGACGTGCATACAACAACTCGCCCACGTTTCATCGTAATCCGATGAATGGAATAGGAACGCATTCGAGATAAACAAGGAAACACTTAATTACCAATTTATCTATATATAAAAAAGATGTTAATATTATCTCAGTAATCTCGTATTATTTAGAAACCAGTGAATTAAATCTAAATATACAAAATTTTTACTCTGCAAGAGGTCGTAAAACCTGTCATTAGATCTGTTTCTATTTCAGTTAAGTTAATAAAACTTTTACAACCTGTGCCCGGACTTTTAAACGTATCTAACATAACTTACGTCACCTACGCTATAAAACTATAACCATTGTTAGTTGAACCTTAATTCACGCGATATTTCTCCTTATTTACCTAAAACAAGAGTTATAGTAGAGTACTATAAAGATATAATTAAGTTGGATATTACAAAATCTTAATGAAGATTCATAGTGTTTTTAAAATAGCCTATTATTTTTGGTATGGTTGGCACATACATAAAACTATGACTTGGTTGGTGACAAAAAACTTAAACGAAAACACATTACAAGGAAGATAACGTTTAATATTGAATTTAGATTATAATTAAGAAGTGTCGTAATATTTAGTTACCTTAATTCATTCGGTTTGAAGTTTAGAAAAATCAAAAGAAAAAGAAGCCGCAGGCACATATTAAGAGTCCATTTATGGCACAAAAATCTAATTTCTTAGTAGTAAATTTTTTAATTTTGTGCATGAATGCAGCATGCATGTAATGCAGAATTAAGTGCGCCGTCATCTCATAAGTCATAATGATCGTTTGAAAATATTTTATATGAAAAATAATTTTTAATATTTCTATATTCTGTGGCGTACACAGCATCGTCGAAGGTGAATGATATTTAGCAATGTAAACTCCAAAGCATGTCATGCAAAGCGTGGCGATAGGAGAAGCGGGGCAAGACAGTGCGAGGAGCAAGATGAAGTAATGGCTGCAGAATCGAGTATACGCGTTAGACGTGCTGCCATCCCCGCCGCCGGGGTACGGCGAGTCACCGAAACGAGTGGTCGCGTGACAAAGTTAGAGCACTATCTGTCATTTGCACGACAATCTTAATATTTTCTAACTTTTATTACACGTGATATTAACGTAATAAAATAAAATATCATAAACTGCTGTGAGTATATCTGAGGCAGAATTTAGCTTTTTATTAGGTACAAATTATTTAATAACGTTTCTGACAGTGTTTAAATAATTTGAGTAAAAAGAGAAGGATTATTTCAAAATAGACCGTACCCCCTCATGCCCCTCATAAGTTTCGATATAAAAATCTAAGTTTTTATCATTTCAGAATAGTTAGAAACAATAAAAGAAAAACAGACCATGGTGTAAGGTCAGAAGAAGAGATGCGAAACACGATAACTGCTGTATTGGAAGACAAAATGAAAATTGCTAGCAGCAAAAACATGTTCAGTCAGGTAAAGTACGCAAGAAAGAAAGGTGAAAATTTGTCGAAAGAATACTAGTGCCTCAAGACAAAGTGAAAGTACTGCGAATATTACGTCCTCTTCATACAAAATATTCTAGAAGATAGCATTAAAAAGAAGAAACGGGTGGCAAAAGAGAATTAAGAGAAGAAAATACTGAAGGATGTATCAAGTACAAAAAAAGAGAAATCGGACAAACAAAATAGAAGAAAAGAAACAAAATAAGCAGAAAAGATAGTCTTCATCAGAAAAAGAAAACGAGAATTCTGCATGTTTTGTATTGCGCTGAACTATATTTGAAATCAGTGGAAAGATGGATAAGTTGTTAGGTACGTGGTAAATGGGCCCATTGCTCGTGTGCTGATGGGGAAGATGGCGACGATGAAGTCATATGTATGACTTATGTATGACTACTACTACTACTATACTACTATGTATGACTGTGGGGCAAGATGGGTACAAAGGGTACACAGGGGTACAGGTTGTTGATTCATTATTTTTAAAACTATAAATAAATGTTTCATTATTTCTTAAACTGAAAGACTGATAAAGTTGATTAGTTTATTACAAAAACCTGTATTTTATTTATCATCAAACTTTAACCACCCCGTCATGATGCATCCACAAGTAAAGACATAGTCCAGACTTTAGAAACTATAAAGTGAAAATTATTGTATTCTTTTTATTTCTGTGAAGTTGGCTTATACTTTTTGTTATTAAGTTTAATTTTTTGGACCATTTTGAGTATTTTGACCAATCTCAAGGTAACAAACAGAATGTCTCCTAAATAGTTGCATTATGTTGAGTCAGTGCCCTTTTCAGTATCACATCACTCATACAATCAAAGATTATTTTATGTCTGTTCTCTATTATCTCTGAATTTTTTTTTGTTTTTATTTTATGTGTGTTACCTCATAACTTTTTCCTGGGTAAACCGATTTCGATAAACCTATTTTATTTGAAACCTGGTGCTTCACATGTGGTCCCATATAATTTTGATGAAGGTCTAATTAATAGTTTTTGAGTTATTCTTAATAATTTATATTAAAGTCGGTTGTACAAAATTTTAAATTATTATCTCTGATGTTTTTATGTACCATATTATTTTCTGTATCGAAACTGTATGAGTGTAAGTTGCTGGAGTTTTGGCGGGAAATTGACCGGCGGCGGTTTGCTGCTCCTGTATTATTGTTTAAATAATGGTTTGAAGTGGACTTTGATATGTAAAAGTGTTGCAAATTTGTGTATTAAGTGTCTACGCATGTGAACTATTAGTGGAAACAGTGAAACAAGTGCTCTGATGGTGATGGATTCTCAAGATAAGCTGTTTGTTTGCATAGGCACCTTTAGATACCATCGCCAACTATCAGCTGTCTGCTGGATCAAGTTGCCGCCAAAATCTCCCAAGAACTGCACAATGTGACGCATCAACATATTGTGAAGCAGTATACTATGAAGGAGTGGGGAAATTACAATAAACCGAATAAAAATACTTAAGACTTGGCCTAAAGGTCTAGATACCAGGCCATAAACTCCAAAAAAAAAGTGTAAGCTGCTGAATAAATGCATTTCTATGGCTATGTCTAAAACCTACTCTGTTTTTCCAACCTTGAGCATTTTCTATAAATTTATACGTGGCAGAATCCCGCTGCTGTGCTGCATACTACGGTTGCAGCACGAATGGTTCAGTTCGACTGGTCAAGAATCAAGCTCTCACCAGCGTAAAAAAGCAGCTTAATGGTGCTGAGTTTCTTAAAGTGATTATAGATAACCGAAGACCATTTTTACTGGTGTTGAGACATTCTATTTTAGTGCTTAAGCACCCTCACCACAAGCATCCACATTTTGATTCTTAATCAAAGACAGAAGTAAGTTGTGGGTGTCAATGGACTGCAGCATCCATTTATCATCTATTGGCTTAAGTGCTCGCTTGGTATCTTATCTTATTCTAAATAAAGTCTTTCCCAAAATGTTAGAGGCTCATGTCCGGCAGCCAAACTAACATGACAGATTTGTCAGAAAAGAGGAGACAGAGAGAAAGAGTTCCTTCTTCGAGCAGACTTCTCATTTTCATACGGTAATAGATTAATAGGTAGGCGAAGTGTAGTGCGAGCTCCCCCCCCCCCACACTAGATGGAGTGACGACCTGGTAATGTAGGTGGTAATGTGGTGATGTAGGTGGCTCAGGACCGTGCTTTGTGGCATTCTTGTTTTTTTTTAAACGTTACCTCCACACTAGGATTTTCTCCTGTATCGTAGAGGCAGTTTACAAACATATATTGCACAAGGACAAACATCCAGACCCGGAACAATTATTTATAGGCCATACAAATACTTGTTCCGTGCGGGATTCGAACCCGCGGCCCCCAGCGATGCAACTCATTGCTAAGGCACTGCGCCACGGAGCCGTCAATTCCTTAAGGAGGCCTATGTTCAGCAGTGGACTAATGAACGGCTGTAATTATGATGATGATGATATAGATCATAAACATCTTGACGTTTGACCAATGAAGTTTTATTCTCACGAAAAAGAGCATTATGCACAATGCAATCAAAAATACCCTATGCACTTAAAGAGTGCCATAACAGATCAAGTACTGGGTGAATGCTAAAAACAGTACGCTAACTACGATAGTGTTCCATTCCTGCCGGTAGTATTGAAATGGTAATTTTGAGTACCGATATGAACATAGTCGGCGGAAACATCTAAAGAAGACAACGTTTAAAGAAGAAGCGTTACCATATCTAAGGACTAAGATGTCATGCTCTCCACGATGTTATACCCATTAGACCGGAACACGGCAGTGCAGGCACTGCTTCTTGTATATATATATTTATTTTTTTAAAGGATAAGGTGACAAACGAGCACACAGTCCACTTGATGTTAAATGGTTGCTGTGACCCATAGATATCCACATCTATCCTCAATAAAGAATCAAAATGCAGATGCGTTATCACCCGTGAGGACTAAGATGAAATGCCTCTTTTCCAGTAAAAAGGGTCTCCGGTTCTCTACACTCACCATACGAAACACAGCAGTGTTAAGCTGCTATTTTACGCTGGTATTCTGTGAGAGCGTGGTCCTTCCCCGGTCGAGCTGACCCATTCGTGCTACAACTATACTACTAATATAGCTGCAGCATGGCTCTACCACGTCTAAGTATATATGAATAAGTAAGAAGGTGATACCTACCCAGTTAGACTCTTAAGCAGTATAAGGGTCTAACCACCTTGTAGAAGTCCTACCGAGGTAGCAATTTTGAGGACACCTGCATTTCGGAGAAATTAAAAATATCTTGAGGACTTGTGAACTCTGCCATCCCGTATTGGAGCAGAATTTCTATTTACTAAAAAAAAATCCACCGAAATATCGTTACATTTTTCCGTTTCAAAATTCAAACAGAAATAAGAAAGGGCCTGTGTCCAGTATCGGGACGTATGCAGTTACTTCACTTTTTATAACAAACCCGACGATGGTTAAAACTATAAAAAAGCCCCTACTGTGCCGTTCATCAACAAAAAACTGATAAAAATTAAATATTCTACTCTGTCACTTCCACAACTAAGACGAATCTAACAACACTTCTTAATTTAAAATTCAACAAGAGTATAATATTATACATTTTGTATGTTTGTGTACATACATCAATTATACATTTTGTTTAGTGGTATGACGTAATTACTCTTTGGTCTCGTGGTTTTGGTTAAATTAATCCAGTAGTAGTAACAATGATTGTTTCTCAAATCCCCATGAACATCTGTCTAGTAGTCTTGAGCGACTATAATTTTAAACATATTTCTGTTAAAGATCAAGGCATATTATCAATAAAGGAAATATTTGTTTGTTGGTATTGAATTTTACTTTCATTGATGTAAAACAAAATATATCAAAACTAAAATAACACATCTTCACTTATTTTAAGAGAGGGTTTTGGAACTGAGCCCGCTGCATTGCCATGGTGCTTGTCGGCTTTTGTCTTATGGTTTGAAAATTTAGTCTCTCAGTCGTAAAGGTTTTCTCGCGATGTCATTCTTTATGCATGATTTATAGAAAAATTAAAATACCCGTTTTATTAGTAACGATGAGGATGGAAGTCTGTTTGTGTACATATACGGACATACACGTTAAAATAACGACAATTTAAAAATGCTATAAGTTGCTTACTCAACTAAAATAGAAAGAGACAGGGTTAAAGATAATTAATACTTAATGTAAGTATGCGATAGTCAACTATTATGAGTAAGGCCGTTAGAATATAATTTTAAGGGGTATTCCTTATGCTGAAAATATATAAGAATTTCAAAATTATTTCCTTTCTATTTCTCTAAACGAGTACAACTTAAATGTGATTAAGAAATCACTTGTTTCGTCATAATATTTATTGAAGAAGTAAAAAAACTTCCTGCGTCCTCTTTCCGATCCTACCCCCTGTCGCTAATTAATATATCCTTGCGCAAAATTTCTGTCCCAACAGTTTTTGTAACAGTAACGAGTTGCTTAATGTAATTAACTCCAACAAAACTTCACGGAAAAATTTCATCGAAAACAAGTTACTTCGAAATTCGTATATCCAAGTTTCGAAGAACGAAAGAAAGCCCTAGACATTGTATGGTTTCTAGATTAATACTCAGGTTTCTAACTACACTAATATACTTATATGTCAATAAATATAAATGATGCCTCACTAAAATGAAAATGTTTGTGTTTTTGTTTATATAAAAGAAATCAGTCGAATGTAACTAAAGTACAACTAAAGGTGTGTAGTTCTAGATAAGAAGGTTTGGCCTAGCCATTCGATTATTGAAGAGTTCAATGGGAAGACTGACGCCGTAGCTTTAAATGCGGAGCATGAGATACAATGACGGAATAATATGTGCTGCGTATCCAAAAATAATTTCTACAATAATAGTACAAATATCTTCTTCTTCTTTCTGGCCTTATCCCAAGTAACTTAGAGCGGGCATAGCATGTCTCTCTCTTCCATTCTCCTTCTCCGTGTGGGACCACTTTCAAACTGCCGAGATTACTTATATTTGTT